TTAAAGTGAATAAACATAATTCACATGAACAGAATAAAGGAAAAGACCCACGTAATCATTCCAATAGATCTAGAAAAAAAGTTGATAAATTTCAACAGCCATTCATAATTTTTTAAAAAACTCTTTGCAAAACAGGAATAGAAGGAATCTTTCTTTACCTAATAAATGGAATTTACAAAAAGCCTACAGCATACTTAATGATGAAATATTGAAAACTTTCCCCCCTGATATTAGGGGACAAAGATGCCCAGTATCACCAGTTCTATTCAGGATTGTACCAGAGGTCTTAGTAAGTGTGATCGGGCAAGAAAAATAAATGTTGCAAGGACCTGAAATAAAGAAATAAAAGCCATCATTCACAGACAATATAATTGTGCACAGAAAAAAAAATCTTTACAAAAAATTACTGATCAACTATTAGAATTAGCAACTGAACTTATCAATGTCATTAGATACAGAGTAGATATAAAAATATCAATTTCTTTCTCAAATTTGGGCGTCATCCTTGTGCAGAGGCCGTGCTAATCTTGGTATTGTTCTAATTTTAGTATATGTGCTGCCGAAGCAAGCACAAAAACATCGATTTGTTTTTAGATGCCAGCAACAAAACAATTAAAAATGTAATTCCAAAAATGACAACACTTACAATACCTTGAAAAACATCAAAGATCTAGGAATCAATTTATGGAAGATACGGAAGAACTTTATACAGAAATTAAAGAAAACCTACATAAGCAGGATATACAATGTTCATAGATTAGAAGATGTCAATTCCAAATTATCTATAGTCACTGTAAACCTAATCAAAATCCCTGGAAATCTGTATGTGTGAAACTGACAAACTGATTCTAAAATGTATATGGCAATACAAAAGATTAAGAATAAACAAGATGATCTTAGGACGTTCAAAACTGGATGATTTATTGTACTGGAAATCAAGATTCATAAAGCTATACTAATTAAGACAGTGTGATATTGCTACGAGTAGACAAACGTACCAATGGAACAGGTAAAAGAGCCCAGAAACAGAACCCTACATAGACCCGTGGTTTATGACAAAGGCACAGTACTGGGAAAAACACAGTGAAAGCTACTGGGGTCAGTCAGCTAACTGGGAAAGGTCAAACAGCAAAACTTCTGGGAGATAACACAGAATGTCCTCATGACATAATGATTTCCTCAACAGGGCACGATACCGTTAACTAATCGTGAAGGGAAAGACTAGTAAATTGGACGATGTTAACAGTATAAAAATTTGTTTTCATCAAGCCATCAGGAGCGAAAAACCAGAGTGGCAGAAGATATATGCAATGCATATAAAAAGTTTCCGTAACTGGGTATCTTTTTTTACAGTTCTTACACATCAATACGTTAGCAAGACAGTAAATCCAACAAAACAAGGAGGCAAGAGAATTAACTAGGTATTGCGCAAAATAGCCAAAGGCCAATAAGCATGTAAAGAGATGCTCAACATCGTTATTGTGCAAAGGGCAAATTAAAACAGTATTGCACATCTACCATAATGGCTATAATTAAAAATACTGACAAAACCAAATCTTGACAAGGATACAGGGTAACAGGAGCTCACCAACTACCACGGGAGTTTCAGTTGGCATAATGGCTTTGGGAACTTGTGGGACAGTGCCTAATAAAGACGTAGCCATCTATCCCTGTGACCCTTTGTGACCCACATGCCCTGTGGCCCAGTAATTCCACTCACAGTTCCATACCAACAGAAATGCATTCGTGTGTGGATGGAAATACATGCACATGCATGCTCCTGGCAGTGTTAGATAGTAGCCAAAACCTGGAAACCAAAATGACAACTAGCAGAATAAACTGCAAGATAGGGGCATGTAAAGAAATACAGTAAACCAAGCAATGAAAATGGATAAACTACTGCTACAATGAATCATTCCTTCTATCCCATCTCTGCTATACCCCAGCCCTTCATTCAGTCCTTGCCTCTGGTTCATTCATTATTTCAACTATTCTACGTACGTACTTCACGCTTCTCTCTTGAAGCAGGTAGGATAAAAATGCGTTCATACACCTTGGAGTTCTGAAAGGAGCTAACAAATGCAAGCAGAGGAGGGCTGCAATTCCAGCTAGCCAAAGAAAGCCTAAACCCAGTCTCAAGGGAATTTATGCTGAGGTCAAGTGCCCTGACCAAACCCTTAAATCGTTTTGGGTAAGGGTCAAATACATTTCTTCCCTCTCTCCTCCCACCACCTTCCTGGCCCTCATCCTGCTTTTTCACAATCCTTTAAACATGGGAAAACCATTCTTGGCCTGAGGCAGTTTGTGGACCCCTTAAGAAGCCAGGCTGTACCCAAAGCACCCAGTGAAAGTGAGTTAAAAGACATTACTCCTCAGGGGCGCCTGGGTGGCGCAGTCGGTTAAGCGTCCG